CATAGAATTGTTAAGGCTGGGAAAGATGTTTAAGATCACGAAGTCCAACTGTCAACGCAGCACCACTTAAAGACATTAAACCATGTCCTCAAGTGCCGCATCCACATTTTTTTGAACATTCCACCACTTCCCTGGGTAATCTGTTCCAATGCTATACATCCCTTTCCATGAAGTAGTTTTCTCTAGTATCTAACCTAAACCTCCCCTGGCAGGACTTCAGGCCAGTTTAGTTTTCTAGAGTAGATACTGCCTTGCAGTGCTGGAGATGGTTACTGTGTAGATGCAACACACTGAAAGTATTCAGAATTTTTTCCCATTATATTTTATTTTTGTTATGGATTGACTTATTCTGGGCAGTCTACATCATTGCAGTAGCATGAAATTGTTTATCAAGACCCTTTTTGCCCCAGAAGCAGAGTGTTATTCCAGAGATTCTGTGTTGGAGGACAAGGCAGATGTTGCAGACCTGTCTGTACCCTGCAGCTGAGTGTGGTGCAAAGATCACTGATGTAGATCTAAGCAAGCTGGTCTGTCCACATGAGGCTACAGAGTGCCAGGGATACTTGCTTAGGGCCTGAACGCAACGCAGCATTTTTCTTGATAAAATGTCTATAAAATCATGAGTGGCACAAAGAACGGAAATAGGGAATGATTGTTCCTCGTCTCTTCCATAGAGGGGGACATAGCACTACCATCAGTTGATAGTAATGAAAGAGAAGTAAAGAAGCAATGGCAGGTGTTTTAAAGAACACGTGGTTGATCCATGAACCTTCTTGCCACAGGATGTTGCAGGTGCAGGAGGTTCATACACATTGAAGGGACAATGCCCAAGCACGATGGAAGAGAAATCCATTGTGTGTTACTAAAATCAGCCAAACCTTTCTGACTTAGGAAATCCCCGAGCACCAAATAATGAAGCTGGGTATATGAATTTGTGGGGAAAAAAATCACGTGTATGTATACTATTCTTATACTCTTTCTCAGCCATCTGCTTGTGGTCACTCTTGGATTCAGGGTAACTGTGCACTGTGTTCCTCTGCACATTCTGGTAGTGGGCTGGTACCCCAGCACAATGTCCCTTTACAAGAAAGAGAAAGCTGATGGGGTTGTTCCTCCAAATGGACCTCACAGAGATTGTAATGAGGAGTTTCACTCTGTGCCTTGTCTAAAAGGCACCATGGAAAAATAAGCTTTGAAGAAGGTTGAGTGGGTTTTCCTCAGACTTCCAAGGCTACACTCTGGCAAACAAGTAAATAATATTCGTTTTTTCTTCTAGAATCACATGTAGATGAACACAGTCTTTGAGAGTTTTCCATCAGAGAATGGACAAGGCCTGGAAAAATCAAAGGCAGGGAAGACCCCAACAGAGTACCCATTTGGTGTAAGCCCTTACAGTCTGATTCTTTTCCTCCCTTGCCTATATCTTCCTGCAGTTCTGCTTGAATTCTGTACCCCAGCCATTCCATGACTGGGGGGAGATGGCTTTTATGGTGTATTGGTGCTCCACAGTCCAGAACTGGAGTAACACTCTGAGACACGACATTTCTTCTTGCCAAGCTGTTCTTCTTGGTGCCAACCCAGATAAGCTCTGTCATGAAAGCCTAAGGAGCTGGGAGGGGTTATAAAAGATAGAGAACTAATGACATTGCTTCCAATCTAGGTGAGAGTGATTTAGTCTGTCCTTGATCACTCAAATTACATCTCATTAAATATCAGGCAAACCTGCCTGCTATGGTCACACTGCTGTACTGTGGGAACCTCGGCAAACTCTACTAGAGTAGTACAGACAGTGTTTACCTAGGTGTGGTCCAATGAAGAACTCCATCTATACCTTTCCCACTATTATCTCAGCTTGTCAGGGGATGCATTTCCTATACTCAATTCTAAGGTCTTCTATTCAATCTTTCTTCTTCACCACAGAAGAGAAAGAAAACCTGATGTCACACTTAACCTTTCCATTTCTCTTTAAACCTTGTGTTTCTTATGGATGACACAGAGTCATCTCTTTATACTCTGCTAAAGGGCAGGGGCATTCATGAAGAGGATATTAGGATGAATTCAGGTAGCTGGGATCTGCTTCCAAGGCAGTTGCTTCTGCTTCTGCCTTTACTTGACGCAAGTAAAACCCAGCTACTTGGAGACTGACCCCATGAACTGTGTCCTTTCCCAGTGTTAATGATCCCTTGTGCCCCTCTTCCTCTGGCAATAACCGGCCTTCCCATTTTTCCCGGAGGCAGTTTCTGATGTTAAGAAGACAGTGGTTTGTTCTAGATTTGAAATTAATTGAATTTCAGAGAGCGTTAACTACTGCAGTTTGCTTTCCATGAGTTACTCTGTATATTGCTGGATAGATTCCATAATGCTTAAGTAATGGAGAGTTAAGTCTTTCTTTGGTGTATTTCCCCTTGTATTTCCTTATTTCAGAGAGTTGAAGGCAATGACTAAGGTGCCTATTCCTTAAAACCGTGTTGCATAGGAGAAATATGTGACTCTGATCCTCTTACATGAGTCTATTTCTAAAGTCTTATTCCAGCTTCATGAATAAAGTCCTTTCTTCACCCCAGATTCATGTTGAGAAAACAGTAAAATAGACATTTATCTGATATTGGGGAAAGTGAGAATGACTTGGGGCAGAATAGAAATCAAAATTTCTGGATATTCTATCTACTTACGTGAATTGGAGGGAAATTAAAGCCTGCTGGTGTCTGTGCTTCCCTATATGTAACACAGGGATATGGTTATATTCCTATCTTATGGGATATATAATTACAAAATCTGTGACCAATCTTAGAAATTCAATTGTGAGATAGTGTGTAAGCACATAATATTAATGTTTTATAATCTCCCTAAAATGTCTCTGGGGATATCTTTAATGAGAGGGATATAGTGATATCAAAAGAAATCTTTTTTCACCCCAATCATTTTTTTAGAACCCAAAGTGAAACTTGTTTCCACCAACTGCTATCTCTGCAACCATCTGGAAAATCACATTTTCTGAAGCTTTCCTTCTCTTTATCATCTGTAACTAAAGCTATAAAATGGGAAGATGTTCCTGGTTTAATTAACACCCCTGTAGTTCAAAAGCTGATCTTAGTAATGAGAGGCAATTATAGGCTTTATTGAGGGACAGTCAGGTAGAACTAACCCATCATCAATCTATTGAAGACACTTCCCTTTCCAGGTAATTTGGAAACTGCTTTTCATGATGAACAGGCTACCTGACTCAATACAACAGGTGAATCTCTTTCTTTTGTAACCTGAAAAAAGAACCTCCTATTTTGAGTTCTGTGCTTCTTTTGTAAATTCATTTTTTACATCCCACCCGTCTGTCAACAACTAGCAACTGAGCTATGGAAATACCTGTTGCTTTTTGGGGGGAATTCTTGTCTGGCTTTCTTGTTTTATTTTCCTTGTCCCCTGTTACTTTACATTTTAAAGGTTACCTTGTGTTCATGTTTTAGTTCTAGTTAAAACTGCAGACTCTGTGGTGCATCTACATTGTGAGGGGTATGCAGGGTTCTGGTTCCCGGACTCAAAAATGATGTGGTAGAGCTACGGAAGATCCAGACAAGGACACTGAAATGTTCCAGGGAATGTGACTTCTGGTATATGAATTGAAATGGTTGTGTCTTCGGTTCAGACAGGAAAAAACTGAAAGCAGAGATAAAGCTGAGTTTAGCTGAAGCCATGAAGGTGGTAGATAAGGTAAATGTAGAACTTCAGTACTGGAAATAAGGGACACTAGCTGAAACAAGGAGATCTGCTTGAAATTATAAAATACCTTTTTTACATTGCAGATAGTGAACTTCTGGAATTTGTTGCCACAGGAGATTGAGGAGGTGTGCAGTGTCAACAGTTTCAAAAAAGGATTAGACAAATTCAGAGCAGCAGATATATTAGATATATTAGTCTTGAATTGACTTCTGTCCCAAGATTTCTATTATAATGATTGTTGAGAAATAGTTGTCTACTGAGAATAGCTTATTGACTGTTTTAGACACCTCTGTGTACATGAGAGGAGCTACCTTTTTGAGGTATATTATTTCTACTCACAGACTTTAAAGGGACTCTAGGTAGTTGTACCCACATGGTCAATGCATGTCCAGGTGGGTCCCAGCCATCCCATTTTGGAGACTTTGGTACCATACCTCAGAATCTCAGCTATAAGGAATGCAGATTTTTAAAGCAGTGTGATATGAAAAAGTGATATTATGAGTTCAAAACAGACCCCCACTTATGGTTTGTTTTAGAATAAAGGCTTAGCTATGATTTTGTCATCAGTAAACTATGCTGTAAAATGTGGTACATCCTCTTTCCTGGATTAGTTTAACATCCTGATGAAATTGCCTTTGCAATTCTGTCAAAGCTGCAAAACTATGGAACAAGATGATAAGTTGTTTATTCTTCAGTAATGAAAGACAGAAAAAAACATTAAATCCCTGAACTTCTATGGTGTTCCAGCAATGACTTTCATGAGGTGTCAAGGAGAAAGGCTTATTCAGTATGGAAGAGTTTGAAAAGGTTCGTGCATCTGTGGATGTTGTAACTCCACACTATCAGCAGACACAGAACTTGAATGCCATGAGTGTACTCTGGTTTTGGAACAGGGCAACTACTCTCAAAAACACAATGGGAAAGTCCATCTATTTCCAAAGTTTCCACTATTGCATGTGATACAGGACAGACATGAAACTTCTTCAGTGAATTAATGTGATATAATGTTGTTTAGGAGACTGAACATTATTTGAGGTAGGAGAGATTACCCATTCTTTCCTCTTTCCCATTTCTGTGTGAACAAATTTGTTGTCTTGTGTCTTGTTTACTTCAGACACAGGATGTGGGGGAGGAGGTATCAGAAGATCGTGTGACTGCAGTGTTCCTGTAGCTTTGGATCTGGCTGTGGCATCAGAGCCTCTGTGATTCACGTGGCTTGTGTGAAGGGGGAACTGTGGTCATCACCTGCCTTGCTGACTGTGCTGTGTTTTCATCCCCCCTCCCAGGTTACGGACATGCTGCCCCAGGGACGGACGCGGGGAAGGCCTTTTGCATGTTCTACGCAGTCCTGGGGATCCCACTGACACTCGTCATGTTCCAGAGCCTGGGCGAGCGCATGAACACCTTCGTCAAGTACCTCTTGAAACGCATCAAAAAGTGCTGTGGGATGAGGAGCACCGAGGTCTCCATGGAAAACATGGTCACTGTGGGTTTCTTCTCCTGCATGGGGACACTCTGCATTGGAGCAGCAGCTTTTTCCCAGTATGAGGAATGGAGCTTTTTCCATGCTTACTATTACTGCTTTATAACATTGACTACGATAGGGTTTGGAGACTATGTGGCCCTGCAGACCAAAGGGGCCCTTCAAAAGAAGCCTCTCTACGTGGCTTTTAGCTTTATGTACATTCTAGTGGGGTTGACAGTCATTGGGGCATTTCTAAATCTGGTTGTTCTCAGGTTCTTGACCATGAACAGTGAGGATGAGAGGCGGGATGCCGAGGAACGGGCGTCCCTGGCAGGGAACCGCAACAGCATGATTATCCACATCCAAGAGGACTCCCAGCATGGTCGGCCAAGGTACAAGGCCGAAGTAACAGACCTTCAGTCAGTTTGTTCCTGCATGTGTTACAGGTCCCACGAGTACACCAGCCGGGTGGTGTCCCACCAAAATTCTTTCAGCTCAAAGCTGAACCCCCAGTACTTTCACTCCATCTCTTACAAGATAGAGGAGATCTCGCCAAGCACATTAAAAAACAGCCTTTTCCCGTCTCCTGTCAGCTCCATCTCACCTGGGTTGCACAGCTTTACAGATAACCACAGGCTGATGAAACGGCGAAAGTCCATTTAAAGGGATTTGTCTTTTGCTTTCCTTGTTTTCCCCAGTTCTTCTCTGTTGTTTTGGGTTTTTTTGTTCCTTGAGTGAGACAGAGTGAGGCCAAAGGGAGTAGAGCAAGCCAGTCCTCCTCTGAGACTCAGCTCTTGAGCATGAAGCATGGATTATTACTGTTCCAGCAAAGTATGCCTTACATTACCCCCTCGGTGGATGTCAGAGGATTCAAGGTGACGTGAAGTGGGTACCAAATCCAAAGTTGCACACACAGCTGGGAGCCTTCATGTGCCACTGGCACTCCTGACCTAACAAACTTTTTTTCCTCACAAGCAGGTTGCAGTGTGGGTGTGTGCTTTGCGTGTGTGTCGGGTGTGTGTGCGTGTGTGTGTGCGTGAGCAATTCCACAACTAGTGCCATGTGACAAAAATTAAAGCATCAGGTATTATTTTTTTTTTTTGCCCTTGAAGCAATTGTGTTCCAGCCTGCTTTTTAGATTGCTTCCAAAAGGAAAGGGGGGGGGGGGGGGGGAGCCAATTTGTTTTGGGGTTTTTTTGCCAAGACGAGCATGCGCCATAAGCAGTCAATATACCAGATGTATCATGATAAATTTTTTAATGCTAGATTTTAGATTGTATTAACATTTAAAAAAGGCAGGAAAAGATGGATCATTTTAGCTTGCCAGTTCAAAATTAAAAAAAAAAAATAAAGCATGCACTTTGTAAAACTGGTATGCATAATAAAAACACAAGAAAAACTAGCAATGGAATTAATAATCAAAAGCAAATAATCCTATTGATTTAACTATATTTAATTTTAAAATTTTCAACTGTTCCAACAATTTGCAAGTGGAATTTTTAAGATAATTTGGGAGAATTGTTGGAACAAAAGAGTGTATTTTGTTATTTTAATTTTATTTATAAATTATTATTATTATTATTATTATTATTATTATTATTATTATTATTAT